GCGTCATCTCTATATTGCATGATGCTAATTGGAAATTTCTCCTTCTCTTTCTGTTTCACGCACTGTTGTCACTAATACAAACATGCGTCATCTCTATATTGCACGATGCATTATAAAGCAAGACGAGTGATTATTTTTGGTGCTGTGCGTTTGTTGTCGATTAAGCAAGATATTACAATTGTGCCAAGCTACCGCTTCGTATTGGATTTGTTGCTCGTTGAAATATTTCATATGATATTTTCCTATCTTTGGACAACTACTATTTTTCACGCATTTTCAAATATTAATTCCTATCTCGATTCTGTTCTACGTAAATATGATGAATATTATGTCGATTTTGCATCTATTCCCAAAATCCATTTTGATCTAGTATGTCGTCGGATCCAACTTCAACAAGTAATTTCGCTCATCCTATCTGGCATAGATGATACACCTAAGCAATTACAACCCTTCTTCTCTCAATTCAATATCAAAAAATCCACTTGTCTCCATTCGATTACCCTAGTTGAAGTCAAACATAAATCATTGCTGCAATTTATTGAGGGTTTAATCAACAGCGACATTTTGGAAAATTTTATAGCATTCAAGATCATTCCTCACCAGAAATCTTATAAGAGGCTTGCAGACTCTATGGTCATGGTATTACTTTCTTGTCGATTAAAACGATTAGATCTGTAAGATGGACTTTGCTTTACCGAGAGCGTCCAGCAATTGCCTTATCTTCAACATTTAACACATTCAACCCGATGAGACCCACCGGTGGGTCTCACTATATTGTACAGTGATTAAGTCGGCTATGATGACAAACGGTTCTCAGAAAATTTTTTCGTCTGTCAGATTTTGTAGAACTCTCTTTGTCGATCATTTTGATAGGAAGTTTTTTTAAATTTAATAAATAAATGACGATGCTAGAGTGAAAATACTGAAAAAATGAGACAGCTCTGTCTGCTAGAGCTATGATTTTTTTTCAGTATTTTGACTCTAGCACCGTCATTCATTTATCAAATTTAAGAAATCTTTTTTATTAAAATGATCGG